CGAGTGTGATCGCTTGACTCGTACGAACAATCAGCTCTAATACCACTTGTTAGGGAGACACCACATGCGAAACTGACCCAACACACTTCAAGAGCTCAACTTGACCTAAAAGATTAATTTATTAAGTCTTAAGTCCTTCTGTGCATATAAATCATTTCACATTCTTATTCATTTTTCATATGGGACAACACACACATATTTTTCTCAACACCTTTTTAAAAGTTAGACCATGGGATTTCAAGAGGCCGAACCTCCTTATGCTAATTACTAGCTCGAGTCCCCATAAAAGTTATACATTCAACCCAAAACATGTATTGTTGATACTCTAGAAGAAATATCATGGAATTTTCTTAGTCATGCCTATTGTGAAGTTCTAGAATATTCCCAAAGATCTTTAACAAATTGGTGATGTGTATCAATCAAACCGATTGCAAGAGATTCTCCTAATTGTTCAACTTACTTATAAATAGAGCAATTGATTTTTAATTTTTATCAATTATATATTCTCTTGTTGATACTTTGCTATTTCGTAAGTTTTAAAAATTAAAATTTTCAACTTCAATGATTATATTAATTAGTTTGTTGGATTTAAACAATGGATGATTCGAGTTTATTTTCCCATTTAGCATGATGTTATTGCAAATACAAATTAATTTTCTAGTTTCAACACTATCATGATGTTATTGCAAATACAAATTAATTTTCTAGTTTCAACACTATCATGATGTTATTGCAAATACAAATTAATTTTCTAGTTTCAACACTATCATGATGTTATTGCAAATACAAATTAATTTTCTAGTTTCAACACTATCATTCTACGTCTATAGTTTATTATCCATTCCGCTGGACATGAATTTTTACATGTTGAAGTTTGGTATTATAATATAGACATAAAGTGATAGTAGAACGAGTTATACATTCGAAGAATGGGCAGCACCGGCCAGGCCACCACATTACACGTTTGCATGTTGGGAAAAACGATTAAAATAACAACCACACTCAACTTTTCTTGCAAACAAAACTTATAATATGTCATTTATTTAATGCCACAGCTAACTACTCTCCATTTAATATTTATCCATTAAACCTTTTTTTTTTTTTTTTTGGAAAAAGAAACTGGCATTAAACTTAAACTGAAGTCATCTCGACACTTATAATAGTTGAAATACAATAGTTAAACTGGTCCCAAAAACTGCTCATAAAAAGATCTGAATAGTATAAAAGAACATCCTTATTACAAATTTTATTTAATTTCATATCCTTATTTAATATTTACCATTCGCTAAACACAGATAATGTTATAAAACACAGATAATTTTGAGTATCGTCTTATATAAAATTTTCAAGTGAATTCATCTTCTGTTAACGATGATCGTTAATATTGGTGCTATTTCCGAACGATTTTTTTTTTTTTTGGGTCATGACTCATTCATCTTTGCCTTCTCCCGCTATCAATTGATCGATTGTTTCCGAAACATAAAAGCAAAAAGAGAAAAGGTCGGAGAGAGAGAAAAAAAAAAAGACAGATTGATGAAAGATCATCTTCTTGGCATGGTAAGATACGACACGTCATTGACGTTGACGTGGGGCTGAAAGATTCTCCTACAGCTTTAGTCGCCACGTGTCAACCACATGTTGCCTTTGCTTCTATCACACGGCGACAAAGTACACAGAAATAGAAAGATAAAGGTTTGAAAATGGCAAAACTAGTTTCAATACGTACTCCATTTCTTTTTGCAATGGATATGAAACTTGGACGGTTTTACAAGTGGCCGAAAACAATTTCAAAATTAAACATCAATGTAAGAAGGATCAAACATTGCAGCTCTGGGTTGTAGTGGAGTGCGGAGCTCTACGACGTCGTTTTCAAGTTCAACTGTTTAAGTACCGTACATTTGACTGATTTCTAGAAGGTCAAAGAAGAGTGTCAAAAGTAGAGGTGGAAGATTCTAATTCAACCCAAAATCCAACCACCAGGGAAGGAAAGAAAACAAAACTTGTCATCATAATACAAAGAGTAAGGTTAGGATACAATGACACATTCCAGTTTATTAATTTACTAATTCATTCTAAAGTTTAAGTTGTTAAAAAATAAATTAATAATAATTTTATATTTTAATACTCTCTTTCACGCTCGGGTTGAACAATAGATAATCGTGTGAATAAATTAATTAAAAAACACAGTATGTGAATATTTAAATTTGAGATATATTAAAAATCTAACACATAATGACAATTTAAATAGAAATAAAGAGTACAATTATAAGAGTTTAAACTCATGACCTCTCATTCTAATATCATGTTAGTTTATCAATTCATCCTAAAAACTTAAGCCGTTAAAAAATAAACCAACAATAATTTTATACTTTTAACACAATTTTTCAGTTTCTTAGCAAGGTATTTTGCAGATTAAGCATTTATCTTTTGGGAAAATTTATAGTAGGGGATGTACTTTCCCTTAGGTAGAGTGAGAATTTATAAGCCATCGATTAATTTGAATGGTTTAGATTAAAGAGACACACCAATAGATTAAAACTAAAAATACACATGATTAAACAATAAAAAAAAAAACTCTTTTTCCCTCTTCTTCGCTCCCGTGATCCCCTTTTCCTGCCTGCGATTAACTCATCCAAATTCAATCCACAGCATCTTCCCAATAGCTATAACTAAATTACCTACAAACTAAGGCACTTTGGAGTTAAAGTCGAAGGCTAAACTGATAAATGCATAAATTTGTCCCATAAAAAAAAAATGTAGCAAATTCTAGCTTCGTCTTCTTATAAATTTATAGCATGGTAGCAGTTGGGCATATCTTTGAATCTGCAATCAACAGAGCTTGGCGGTGGGGTGGTTACAACTAAATAGAAAAATAAAAAGAAGAAGAAGTAAGAATTAAGATGTACGACAATGAATTACGGTCAGGAGAAACAGAGGCCATGCTCCCTCGATCTTCCTTCTCTCTATCTTCCCTCTTTCTCTCTATCCATCTACTCCCTCTCTCTCATCAGGACAAACGGCGGCCATGCTCCCTCGCGAACGCCGATCGACGGAGATCTCGAACTCCTTCGACGAAGCTCTGGTCTCTCGCCTCCGATCTTCATCTCTCCAAGGCGGCACGATCTACTCCGCCCCCCGCGAACCCAACATCCCCCTCAAAGGGGGGCGAATCCTCTGCACCTCCACCGGCAAGAGCTCATCGGCAATGTTAAATCTGGCATTGAAATCCTATACGAGAGGTTTCATATTAATTTGGTACACATGCACCTTCTTTTACCGTCCAATTTAATTACGGGAAAGTACACCCCCTTACCATATGGATTCCCTATTCTTTTTATTTTTTTACCGGTATAGGGCATGTACCCACTGCTTCATTATTAAGGACCAAAATCTTTAAGATTAAAATCTGTTAGATCTACAAACGCTCACACATAGTGTTAGTAACATGAGTCACGAATGACAACACGATTAAAAAATGACACGAATTTTACGGGTTAAGATTGAGAAAAAAGATGTTCGGGTCAGAATTTGGTCGACCAGAAATTGACACGAATAACACAGGTCAATTTCGGGTTGGACCCGCCTAACCCAAATACGACACAAAACTCGTAAAAAACTAAAAAATACATATATTTTTCATTACATATTTTTTATTTTATTATGAACTTGTGATATCATGATAGTTATACTCAAAATTTTATATTATTATTTGCTTAATTTTAATGGATGTTATTGTATTTTAGTGTGTTATGAATTTTAAGTTATTTTTAATATGTAAAAAACTAAATAAAAGTATACAATTTTTGTGTCAATTTCGGGTTCACAGGTCAATTTCGTGTCACGGATCATTTTCGTGTCGTGTCATGTCGTGTCAACCCGTAAAGTGATCGTATCGTATTCGTGCTGCGGTTTTTAAAAAATTTCGTGTCACGTGTCGTGTTCAGGTTAACTATAAATTTAAAAAAAATAATCAAAACACGACACGAACATAACACGTGACACGAATTACCACCCCTACTCACACACCCAGCCGCTCAATTTAATCGTAATTGGTTAAAAGAAGGGTGCAACACAATAACTCTCCAAAAAATCATTCATCTTAACTATTCTCGCTTGAGCACGTTTAACTCTAAAATTTTGATGAAATTCGATGCATTTATCTTCTTAATTTGTTGAACTATGGAGTTAAACTATTAAAACATGGTTCATTTTATTGACAGTTGTGTTAAATTGATAACGAAAGAAAGACATCTGACTAAAATTTCCATAATTTCATTAAAACTCTTAACATAAACTCTTCAATGGAAAATTGTAGTAAATAGTAAACTTTTGAAACTAAAGTAAATAATATTTTTAAAACTATTTAAAGTTATTAATAATTTACGTGATAAATGCATCATTTATGATTGGTGAAAAATAATTTACGTAGTAACAAATCTTAAAAAATTTTTATTTAAATAAAAAAAATTCTTTTTACGACTTTTTACCAATCGTAAAAATAAGATTTTTGTGAAAAAAAAATATTTTTACTACCCATTTACACGATAAATGATTCATTTACACGTAAATTACTATTTATTTCAATTTTAAAATTTATAATTTACTTAATTTAATTTAAAAAATCTATTATTTACTGCATTTTCCTTCTTTAATTTCCCAATCGGACCAAAATTCAAAGCAAAGTTGATAACATGAACAACATTGCAACAATTCCACTAATTGGAAAGATAAAATGCAAAAATTAAAAGTGCAAAAGATAAATTGCCAAAGTTTTTAAAAATCTAGGTGACAATTGCTTTAATGATGTGCATGCTTTTCCGTCAATCCATAAAATTCTTTGATCAGATATGTATATTTTTTTCAACGCGTTCAGACACAAGTGAGGGACGGCCATCAAAAGCTGACCAAGAAAAGTGGGAGCAACTGAGCAACTAATGAGTTTAGCTTCACATTTACAACAAGAAACTGAAAAGAAAACATTAAGCATGAAACACAAGATGGGAGAAGAGAGAAGTCACGCAATTAAAGCAAACATTATGACCCTTATCTAATTTAATTATTGAAAGATCAATTATAATAATAATAGTGTTAAAAAACAAAAAAAGGGTCGGATTTCTTTCCCATCATCATAAGCCAGAAGAAAGGGAGGATTCGGGGTAGGACGAAAAACAAAATAGCTGAAGAGTAGAGATACTAACAACTTGAAGCCCAAAAATAGATAATAAAGAGTTAAAACCAAAAAAAAAAAAAAAATCAAGATCCTAAAAATGCCGCCACCGATTACCAAAAACTCAAGTAGAAATTCGAAAAATAAAAAATAAAAAAATAAAATCTTGTTGCAAAGCAACCCAATTAAGCCACCTTGGCTTCTTGCTGGGCAACTCTCTCTCCCCAGTTTTGAATAGGCCTCTGGTGAGCTTCTCCGTTGCGTCCACCATTGCCATTCCCCCTAGCTCGGCCCGAGAACTCGCCACGCTTCTCGAACTCATTCCTTCCATAACCACGGTTCCCACTGTAGTTTCCACGGCTTCCCCGGAAATTGTCATTGCGGTAACCGCTTCTTCCTGATGAGAGCTTCGCTCTATCGTTGTTTGCTGCAAGAAAACACCATTGTCAACTACAACGCACTTTTGATGAAGAATGAATAATTATCGAGAGCTCTAAATCTGTCATTGTTAAATGCAACAACCATAACAGCTCCTATTTATAATTATGCAAGACTATGATCTTTTATCCAAACTAACATGCAGAGGCATTCATCTGAAGAAATTACAAACGAATCACGATTGATAATGTCACCATTTTCCAGTATGAGTCGAATGAACATATAATGAGCTTGCAAATTTATGGGTAAGCACACATTATCTCAAAATAAAATACCAATTGAATAACAACGGATTAAGAATGATCATGTTTTCAACTTGCCTCGTCTTTCTTCAATGGACAATTTGCGGTTGCCGAACACAATTGGTGATGCCTAAGAGAGAGAAGAAAAAAATACAAGTCAGGCATATATTGCACGAGAACAATTGACTGAGAACTTACAGAAGTCATTCACTCCGCATAGGAGTTTTGAAAGTTTGAATAGCATTTGAAACTAAAACTTATAATAAATTAGAGTAACAGAAGTAAGACAAGCCCAAACTAAGTCAAAACTGAAATAAGTCAAATTTTACAAAAATATAAATAACAGTAGGGAAATTGTGCAAAATTATGCAGCCTCGTCATGAAAGTTAAAACCAGAAACTTTTCCTACAAATCCCAATATGCGCATATCAAATCATGAGAAACCAACAAATGCAATTATCCTATTAATTTTTTGTCCACCCATTATTTTTAGCCTCACATTTTTACTTTAAGGAAGGATTATATTGTATTTGCAGTGTTTTTTTTTTTTCCAAAGAAACTTTTTCCAAATATTGCTATTGTTATTGTAGGGAACCCCAACCGGTCCTCTACGTCCAGCTGTATTATAAACCAGAGTCCAACACATCTAATAAATAACAAAGTAATGCAACTATAAAATCTAATGACCGAACCACAACAAAATCTCACAGTTAAAGCAAACAATTTTTTTTTTTTTTTTTTGAAAAAGAAAAAGTAGAATAAAATCATCTTACCTCAAGTGCACTTTGCATAGAACTTGCGGATTCAAATTCCACAAAACCAAAGCATGTTCCCTGTTGCTAAAATTAGGATTGTAAAACATTAGGCCAAGCAAGAAATACTAACTGATACACACACACACACACACACACACAACCAAAACAAAACAAAATTAGAAAGCAAACAGCAGACCTTATTGCTCCTAACTTGAATTCCATCATGCTTGATGGGACCAAATTGCTTGAAAAGCTTATCAAGTTCTTCAACAGTTGCAATCATGGGAAGATTTGCAACAAAAATGGCATAAGCCTTAACTGCAAGAATAGAACGGAATATCGTAAAAAGAAACTACGAACATCGGAGAAAAAACTATAGGGCAAAGGGGCAAGGACGAACAACCTGCAGGATCATTGTTCTTTTCCGGGGCACCATTGGCTGCGGGAGCTGGTGGCACAGGTACCACGGGTGCTCGAGGCTGCTCTACAAGTTTAGCGGGTTTAGGTTGGGGAGCCCTCACATGAAATGGGGCAGAATTTTTGTTCAAGGCATTCACCTGAATTGAAAAAAGAACAATGTGAGATGAAATTAATGTGATCACCCCCAACAAAATTTTGGTAAAAGTACAACAATAACTGACCACTGACGCAAAGGACTTCTTAGGAGCATCTTCCTGGAGAGTAGAAGTAGTTGTCTCAGAGACGGAATGAGCCGCACTCTGACTTAAGTCAACTGAATTTTCAGCAGGATCAACATGGCCATTTTCTGCAGCAACCACAACTTTCTCAGTAATTCTTTCCTTCTCGTGGTCCACTGGCGGGATAACTTGACTCTCATCGTTACCAGTAGCCACCTCCACCTCTACCTCAATTTCCACAGATGTGGTTTCACTCAGCACAGGCTGATCAGCAGCATTAGTCGACTCTGCAATAAAAACATGAGCACAATCATTGACCAAAAATGAAGATAATGAGATCTCCAAATTAAATACATATGGAGAACGCAATTCACTCGAACATACCAACAACTGGTGTTAGAGGTGTTTGAGAGCTTCCATCGGCATCATTATTTGCCACATCATCAATGTACCTAAAAACATCATTCAAGACAAAGTAACTTTTGGCCACCTTGTCTTGAGGGGCTAGAAAGAAAGATTGAGTAAATTTCCTTTTCTCATTGTTGTTTCCAGTTAAACACCCAGTCACTAGAACAATCACCCCATCCTTATAAGAAAACTGAGCATCAGCTGACAAAATTTGTGCATGATAGTTCTGGTAGTCCAACGAGAGAATCATCTCACTAATTCCCTGCTCAAAAAGAGAACCAAAAAAAAAAAAAATGATTCCCTTTTGGTATATGAAAAATCTCTTTAAAATCGTGGCTTGACATCCCAAAATATCTAAGGGCCTGCTTGGCTCTATTTGAAAACTGAATTCATAAAACCCAAAACAAAAAGTAGATAATATGGTCACCAAATAATGGCTTAGTTTGGTATTGCGGTAGGTTTTGGAAAATTTACTTTTAGCTGTGCTGAAAAAAAAAAAACAATTGTTACAAAAAACAGCTGCGTGTTTGGTAAACTATAATTATAGTAATTGTGCTGGCTCTAAAATCAGTGTAATAGTATTCGGTAAATTATGAGATTGAATTGCTATGGATAGTTAAAAATTGCGACTATATTATATTATACTATAATATAATATATATATATATAATTATAATATAATATATATTTATTATTATATTTAATATAATAAAAAACTATTATTATATAATTATAATATAGAATATAATATTATCATTAAAATGGTTAATATAATTACAATATCATGAAACATATTATAATATTACATAAGAATAATAATATTTCAGTTATAATATAATTAAAAATTACAACTATATTATATTATATATAATTATAATATAATATATTATATTA